ACCAAGGACTTACTTGAAACAGGAGAAAAAGAGACACAGAGAAATTTTCCAGAAATATAATACTAATAAAGATTTATAAATACTTGTCTCAAATACATGAGAATATGGATCATAAACATTCTAACCACGGAAATTAAAACATTGTACAAGGCTTTGTTTCATTACCAGAAGTGCAATTATCTGCGAGTGACAATTGCTGTTTTGGCTGCATTCCCTGTCTGCTGGAGAGGGAGCTCCCTTGTAGGGATATATGGTGAAACAGGTGGAATAGAAGACATGAAAACTGTATGTAGATATATCACTGGAGAAGTTGGATGACATGATTCACATTTGCTTCCTGAAGATGTTTAAAAATTTCGGAAAATATTATGACAAAGCAGAGAGAAGTGTTCTCTGGCTATTCAAATGACTGGTCCAGAAAAGTCAAGCACACAGAGTGTGAAATGCAGGATGCACCACCTTAACCAAGTTAAATTCAGTGTTTTGCTGAGTCTCTGAGGCTTTGAAGGAGAGGATGGAAAAATCATTAAAAAACAAAAGCATCCACTGCCTGGCCCTGAACACCTGATAATATTACTTACTGGCTCAGATGCTGAGGGTCATGTTCAGATCACATAAAATACAATTTAAAAATATGAACAGAGAAAATTAAATTAAGGGAGATAGAATCTCATAAAAAGGAGAAGCAAAAAGTGTGGGATGTGTGACAAAGTTTAAAATATTTGAAGAATACTGTTTTCCTAGTTTAGTGCTAAGAAACAATGGCAAGAAGCATCCAAATCCAGAAACCATTCATATTTCTGAATTACTTTATCAGTGAGTTATCTTAAGCCCACCCTCACTCTTAACATTGCCACACTTTGTCTTCCTCTATGAAATCACACAAATATTGCTTTTGTTTTTCATAGAACCATTTAGGTTGGAAAAGACCTTTAAGACAGAGTATAAGCCTTATCAATATTTGCTATCCATTTTTTTCATAAAACAAAATAATCATCATCATTCAGCAAACCCATGGTAACAATGGGAATACAAATCCTGTGGTTTGGAAAACTACAAATGTCAGAATAGAAGAACTGGATCACATCTTGACTGATGTTCATACTTTATTAAATCACAATTTAACTAAACCACAGCTAGTGTTTAAACTTTGGAGAGGAACACACACCAGCGCAGTTTTCTAGCACATCTGCTATGTATTTCCCATCTTCCTTTTAAAACAACTGCACACAAATCTGCTAAATGTGACTGCAATACAACCAACATTCTGACTGATAACAAAGGTCAGAGGCATTGGAGAAAATGAGAAGTTTTTTTCAACTTACGATTATGAAGTATACAGATGACTTTCAGGAGACAAGGACACTTCCCCCACTATCTTCTGAATTAATCTGAATATCAAAAAAGTACCCAAAAGGCCTTTTTTATTGTATGAATATATAACTCACAAAGAAATGTGAATCATTTGTAGCAGCAAGACATCAGCTGTCTTGTTTGTTACCTAAAAGAATTAAATTTACAGCAAGCCACAGCTATTCTGCTCTAAATGTATTTCATGTGGGTTTGAGAACGTTTCAGGGGCTTTACTGCTTTAGTACTTGTTTGTCCCTTTTTAATGAGTATAAGATTACAGGGTTTAAAAAGAGATAATAATTCAGGAAAGCTATAAGTTCTCTTATAAAGACTTTAATCAGGAGCATGATATTTCTTTTTGAACAAAAGCAGCTTCTCAATTTTTTTCTCCTGGAAGAAACTCACTTCTACTATTTAGCTTGATTTGTTACTGTTTTTTTACTAACTCCCTAATCCTCCTAACCAATTTTTGTTTATTTCCACAGTCTGTTATTGATAGAAGTTTCAAAATTATGAAAATAATACACATTGTAGCCAGGTAGAAAGAAGATAAACACTTTTCAGATAGATTTATTCAGCCATCAGAAAGAGAAATGCATCACTCTGTGTGAATAATATTAATCTCAGACATATGTTAGGCAACGGCTCTACCTTAGAAATAACAGCATGGACTTTACCCTAGGTCTGCTGCTCAGGATCACAAAGGAGTTTGTACAGCTCTCCCTGACACAAATTTCCATGGTTTTGCTATGATTGGTATCTGAACTAGTAAGATTGAAACTTGTTCAGGAATGTCTCTGTGTGCTGCGGTACCTACAGTTGAAGTTCTGTCATGCTCTTTCTAACTGCAAGCTAAGATCTTTTTACATAAAGCCACAGAAATGACGAAGATTGCACTCCACACACGCATAATCCACTCCAAGAAAAAAAGAAAACAACAAAAAAACCAAAATCAAACAAACTGTAGTGAAACTGCAATTAAATAAATATTGGAATGGAAACTAAACAGTGAGATAACAAAGTTGTTCTCTTAACTGTCTCTCAGAAGAAAATCAAGGAACAGATGACTATTTGAATAAAACACCTTTCCAAATCCAGTTTCTCTGGTTCATCTCCAAGCATCACCTCAGTCTGAAATCCTAGGAAAAATTATGAGCACTAGCCAGCTAGCTTATAGAATGTAACAGCCATGATGACTTTTAAGTATTTGTCTCTCAGACTACGGCATAAATCTTCTAGGACCTACCTCTGTAATCATCTACAGGGTTTACTTTGACTTGGGAACTATGAAATAAAGCTGGTTTTTGAGGCAAATGCTCTTTACACATCAAACCTTGGTTCATTTCACTTATTTTAAACTTATCAGTCACAGTGATATTTCTGATACCCAAATCATTCTCTTTTTCTGCATCTACACTCTCCTGGTTTCACTATCATTCAGCTGTTCTCTTGTCATGTCTTCCATTCCTGCACTGCTGCACTGTCCTTTAGAACTGATAGTTTGCTTCCCTCTTCTGTACTTTTCATCACCTTAAAGTATCTCCCTTTTGAAATACAATGCAAATGTAATACTCATAGATTATATTTTACATGTAAAGGTTTTGAATCAGCACTGTAGCCAGATAGGTAAGAAATAAAGCAACTATAGACCAGGATACCTGCAGGAAATTCAGGAAAAAATATTTATTCACTCACCTAAAAAAACAAACCAAAACAAACAAAAAAACCCAACAAAACCCCAAAACAAAACAGAAAAAAGCAAATAATGAAACACCTGGTCCTCAAAATTAATTTTCATTAAAAAAAAATTACATTGGGGTGGATTTTGAACTATGTTGCCATGGCCCCTCATCTCTGAATTTTTATCAAAAAGTGAAAAATGGTAAATAAAAATAAGAACTATACTCAAATTGTCATCCAAATATTGCCTAATTTTAAAAATATTAGCTTTCTAGAGTTGCAGTAGTATTTCTGGGAGTTTTTGAGGGGCTTTTGGGGAACTTAAAAAGCCATTACAAATTGTAATTGGCTTTAACATCACCTTCTTTTTTTCAGTCTGTTCATGTTTTATCTTTTTTTTTTTTTAATAGAATCTTCTGGCTTTTACTGTGACAGTAAATTCACAACAGTGTTTTCAAAAATATTATTTCAATGACTCCTGAGACGAGCAGGTTAGACAAAGTATGAACCTCTCTGTTCTTCTATTTCTATGAACCTCTCTGTTCTTCTGTCTCCTAAAGCCAGGATTCTATATTGGTGACTGTAAGCCAGTCTTTTGCCTCAGATACTTCCTAGGTGTGTTTACAGCCAGATTAAAAACATCTGCTGGACCAAGCAGATTTATCCACAGTTCAGCCAAAGCTCTTAATCAGATTCAATTTCCTCTTGTCCTGGCTCCTTTAACTGTCTTAAAGCTTCAACAATTCATCTCTTCCAAACCTGAAAACAACATTTCATTTCCAGACTCAAAACCTTTAGTTCCATTTCTATAGTAAATATAAAAGCTCTCTGCAACTTCAAATGTCTCAGATCCACATAGAAACTTTGTGTCTATTCCATATGCAGCCCCAATCAACATCAGATGTCAAATTGCTTTCTGTTCTCCTTCCTTATTTTATGTCAGTCAGTTAGACAATAATGTCCCAGTCTTCTTGTACCTATTGCCTGTGGTTTGAATCTTTCACTTCAAATGATTTTGTCTACCTGACATTCTAAATCCTACCTAAAAATCCTTTTTTCCTACCACTGCTTCAGTTCCACGGTCACAAATATAAGCTGGCCATGTTCAAGTTTATTAATTTTTATTTAAACTTTCTCATTCCATTCAACTCTTCTACAGGTATCATCACCTAATTTTACTTCCCCCAGTAAAAGTAGCTTTTCCCAGTGTCAAAGTGGAAGATAGTCTATATTTGATTTCATTGGTAGTGATACCAAACCCTGTACAAAGAAAATGGAAGTTTAACTCTATGTAAGAGAAACAGATATTATTCTGTAATAAAGGAAAAAAATATTATTAATGGGTTCTTACAGTTTATTTGGAATGATTGTGACAATTGACATTCTTTCTCAAAGTTTTAGTTCTTAAAGGTAGTTGACTATATAAGAACCTTTCTTTTTTAAAATTTTGTTTCAGATGGACTTTGACAAAGAACTCAGATAAATCTTGTTTAGACAATGTGCAACTCCCACAGCTCAAAGCCAACAATATCTAACCTTTACGTACATCAAAAATAGCTTGGAAACATGACCAGAGTGAAGTTGAAAGGCTTAGCAAGCAAAAAAGCAGAATAAAGAAAAAGAGTCAGATTTATTTAAAGTTATTTTTAGTTATGCTGATAATTTTAGTTGTGTGACTCATACCTTGGGAAACCTTTGAGGTGATAATAATCAAAGATGAGTACCTTCTGATTCAAAAAATCAGACACAACAAATCCATTCACTAAAAAACCCAAATTGGATGCACACTCATCTGCAGTCTACAATAGCAGAATCATACAAATTTTAGATCCTGAAAACAGGGAGGCAAGCCCCAACCCTTGGCCCCACTGCTTTCTTACTTGTTCCCAGGTTACCTCAATGCTTCACAGAGGCTGACCTTCATCAGTGGCCCTGCTCACAGCCCCAGCAGCCCCACCAGCACTCACCACTGGACGGTGCACATCCCAGAATGCTCGCTCCTGGCTGTCAAGAATCTTCCTCTCTATCTTGTCTCTCTTCTTGTCAACCCTGCCAATGTTATAGGATATTTAAAAGAAACTGTTGATGACAGCAATTTTAAATGCAAGAAGCATCCCATCACTTTTCCCTCCCTTCTCCCTTCAAAAAGCATGCAAAACGAAAGCCTCTTATCTCCAAAGGAACTTACTTTGCTTGTGCTTCAGCTTGCATAAAAATAAACTCCCATTTCCGAGCAAATGCTCGCTGTAGCCTGGCCAAACTCTCCTGAAAATATATCACAATTTTAGTGGGTTAGGTTGCAAGTTATTTGCTCTTAGTTTCTGACTTATCTTTCTCTCTTCCTCCCCACCAAGATGTAATACATGTCATGATATTTGTCTCAGTGTAAATGTACTTTACTTATCTGATATAAAGTTTTTGCTTGACCCCAAATGAGATGGAATACTTTTGAATGCCTTGACTGTTTCAGTTTTGAAACTCTGATAAAAAGGGTGGATGCAACTGCCAGCAAAACATGGGATTTCTGAAGCAATTTTATAGAATGGGTGCTGGCTGAGCAATTTTGAAATAATGCAAAGAAATATTCTTGTTTTGAAAATACCTAATACTGAAAGAGAACAGCTGTAATTTCCATACTGGATGATCCACATAACAATTGCCATCAGTCATCTATACAAGTGATTTCCCTTGACCAATTTTGGCTGCCATTTTTGGTAGTATAGGAATCTTCCAAACCCCCACAGTGATCCTCATTTAAAAGAATGTAGACTACAGTTCTTCACTACTGTAATCTTAACAAAATTCTTTCCTCCACTGATGTTGGAACATTTTCACTGTCTGTAACAGAGCTTTCCCAATCTCTGCCCAGCTGAAATGGCAACAGTATTCAGTCTGTAACATGGAGGCTGAGATTCTTCTCTTCCACCAAAAAGACCCCAGTTACCTTAATGCACCGCTTTTACTGAGACTAAATTAAAATTGACCATAAACTTCCTAACAAAAAAATGTGTTGCTTTTACAGTAGTTCTGTGCATTGCAAATGCATCTCTATGCCATACTTACTGAAAATAAAACTGCAGAGAGCGAAGAGGAGACTTTCTTGATCTTGTCAATACCACTAAAGCCTCTCATGGATTATATACTGAAGGGGAATTTTCTAAGGCATGTGAGCATAAAATTATGTATACCCTACAGTGCAGTACACTGAAGAACAAGTTTGTGCCAGAAGAAGCAATTAAGGGCGTCAGCATGGTGCTGTAGCTGGATTATGTGGTATGTTGAGGGGCCTGGCTGACCATCCTGCTTTTGGGTCACAGCAGCACAGCTGGACAGCTTTCAGTGCAGAGCCAGGGATGTTTGTGAATTTTATGTAGACATTCTCATAAAAAATTCAGGAACTTTTTGGGGGATAGAGATGGAATTCAAGACATCTCTCTCCTTATCAAATGCCATCCTCATCAGCTAATCAAACTCCCTCTTTTTTAGGCTCTTCCTGGCCCCAATTATCTTACTTTGCCTGAGGCACAGCACAACTGTCAGTGAGTGGGAAGTGCCTCTAGTCTGACCCTCTTTGTCTCTCATCTTTGTCTCTTCATCTCTGGGAAAAGGCTCAAGTGCCAGCATCACTTTATAGAATGAGATTTATATTTCAATGTCTATCAAGTGCTTTTGGAAATGTTGTCAGAGATCCTTCATTCAAACTTAAATGGTGTAGAGAACAATTGCTTTCAAACACTCATGGTGTATCTGGGATTTGTGAACAGTTATTTGTGATCCTGGCGTGGTGATCTGACCAGAGTAATATTAGAGATGAACTGAAATCTCAGCTTTTGTGCACTTAGCCTTCACTACAGTCCCTCAAACACCACACTAAGCACTGTTAGACCCACATGCCAGAAAATGTGGATAACTAATAGATTTTCACACTCAGTGCCTGTAATTCTCATGCTTAACATTATTTCACAAGCTCATTAGGCCCAGCAGAGAAATCTATTTTTTGCCAAGTACTTACAGCTTCATAGTCTGCTAGCTCTAGCCTTGCTTTGTTTTGCATTGTCCGCTTGCAGAGGTAAACAGCTGGAACAGAATAAAATAACACAGAATTTGCTACTATCTCACAAATACAGCAGATCAGAAATCGAAAGGCTTCATCTCTGTTTTACTGCTAGATTTTTTTTGTTTTGATTTCTCCCTCTACTCGAAAAAGCTTTAAATATGGGATCAATGCTACCAGTATTATAACTGAAATGATGGATCAGATACAAAGGTTCATTAAATAATAATAAAATCTGCTTTATGCAACAGACATCATATGCAAAATGCATGAGATACTTGAGGTCAGTTTTTTTTAATGGCCAGGGAACTAGCACATAAAAGAAAAATAGCAAAAACATTTTACAAACCGTGTATCTATGAATCATAATGCGTAAGAGTTTTAGCAGGAGCTGCTGCTGTATTAGTCAAACAAGTTTTTAAGAACACGAATACATGGTTTTATTTATTTTTATTCTATATTTAGTAATAGCAAACTTTCAGCCTAAGAAGATTTTAGCTAAAAAAATAATTCCAGAAAAAATTCATGTCTTATACAGATTAGTCTGCTATAACCAATATTTAAAATAGAAAATAATGAGACCAAAAAATGAAAAAAAGCATATCATCTATTAGATATGAGAAAAAAATATTCTTTCATTTATTTTCAAAATCTAAAAATCCTTCAGCAGACCTGTTCTGCCTCCACTTGATTCAGACAGAGCAGACTCTTTGCTAATAAAATGTTGAAGTACATTTCCAATAGACTTTATTTAGCAACAAATACTTCACAACAACTCTGAATATTTTACAGCTTCACACACCAGTAAGACAGTGAGAGCTGCACAACTCCTTATTGTGCAACATTTACCCACTACATTACTTCAGAGCACCTTCTCATGTGTGAGATGGAGGAATCTTTTATCAGTGTAGGTAAGAAAACCTTAACATATCTGTTTTCTCTAACTTAGCAAAAAGAGCCCATATTTGTTGGTTATGGTTAGGAACATTCCTGCTTCCTGGCTGCCAGCTTGTCCACTACAGGAACAAAGAGAAATAACTTCACATAGGAACCTAACTCACAATCACTAGGAAGAAGGAAGTGCTTATTTTAGATATAGCTTTGATTATTAAGATAGTCAAACCAATTATAATTTACAATTCCACAGAAATATTTATTTCTGACAAGTCATCTGCAAATGCATGCAAACCCACTGAATGTCCTCTTAGCTGAATTGATTACAAGCACTTCTAAGAGCTTACAGGGGTTACTTGATGTAAAACAAAGTTATATTTTAATGCAATTTTTGTCTTTTTTTTCTCCTCCTCTTTTTGTGTGTGTTATCTGGTCTGCTTTCTTTCATAATATTTCACTTTCCACTCTCACAAGAAGCCATGGTCTCTTTCTCTATTCCTTGCACTCCCTCTGCTTCCAAAGCAGTTTCTGTGTCTGCAAAATGTACAGACAGATACACATCCATGTCACACACCAAGTATAGTAGACAGATAGTTTCTATAACCTTGGTTTCCATGCATTTTAATATTACTATACAGTTACATTAATGCATTAGCACACATGCTGAAATGTCATAAAAAGATGAGGGGATGAATTTTGGACCTTTTGTACCTAGGTGGCATTCACAATCTGTACAGTGATGAGAGACTCTTGAGGAGAGGGATGATCTTTGTCATTTAGATGCTTTTACAGTGAACCATTTTCCCCTCTTCCTTCACAATTGCTTATTTCATTGAACAAGAAAAAAAACCCTAAACACATTAAAAATATTAGCAATAAAATACATACTTAATATAAATGTGTAGGCAATTCTGAGAAATCCAGGGGTCAAATTTTGTCTCATCCAACCAGTTTAATACCACCTGAGCAGAAATAAAACAAGCTCCCTGCTCCTACACTTGATTAAGCCCCTGCAAACCACATTCTCACAGTCCCAGTACAGGCACTTTTAGTTAGCTTAGCGCTTTCTTGAGTCCCACTGCAGGCAAATTTTGGGATTAGCATTTCCTGCTACCATCAACAAAAATTGTTGCTGCAGAAGTGGCTGACAGAAAAGCATCTTCAGACAAAATATTTCAACACTGGCGAAACAACCACTAGGTCACCACAAGCAGGAGAAATGAATTAGCTTGCCACACCATTAATTTGATACGATGTCCAAGAAATCTCTTCCCTTCACTGTGTAACTCTACCACAGTATTTTCTCTGCAGTGTTCTTTTAATGACTGTCTTCGCTCTCAATCCATAGCAAATAGTCCATATAATAATGTTTGGTTTTCATTATGTGTGTAACTTAGCCAAGACTCAAAAAATCATGTTCATCCCTCAGACCTTTTATTTATCTGAAATATTCAAATCCCCTCCCCTTCAGGAGCCTAAAGGTTATAACACCTGTGCCTTGGATTCTTTATCTCAGAAATGTTTCTATGTGCCACCGTGGATAAGGCAGAATATGCCCAAGGAAGATTTAGTATAGTGGGAAGTATGACATATCCACTAGTGTAGAGGAAAATAGTGCTGAAGGACATTCCTACTCTGCCTCCATTTATGGCCATTGTTATGTGCCAACAATTTTATCCTTGTAAAAGTGCATGTTTGAGGCTTTATGTAGTAGCTAATTTTAGCGACATGAGAGGCTGGTAGCACCTCGGGAATTTGAGTTCACCAGTTTACACTCTCATTGTCGTATCCTTTGGCTTATCTGTAAAAAATTCACTAGCATGTTGGAAAGCAAGAAAAATGTGAAAATCATCCTCATTTTCAGCCAGACCATTTGAAGGTACAGAGTAATGAGGTTTTGTTCTTCTGCTTTTAGGGCAATGAGATTTGAAATATGGATACTCCCATCTTTCACAAGTACCACCCCTTTTCTGTACCAAATCATGTGTGAAGTAACTGTGCTTGTCAAGCAGCCTGACTTTGAGGATGTCAGTCAGTTTCTCTCTCAAAGCAGAGTTAGGAGTCCCAAGAAATTCAGCGAAAGACAGTGTCTGCTTTTCTAATGCTACGTGTTGACAGTGGTTTTACAGCTTCATACAGAAGTACAATACGCAGGAAGGGTCTCCAACTCAAAACTCCTTTTTTTCTGTATATAGTTCTCTATTTATCTACCCCTCTAAGGTCCTGGTCAGGGACCAGTATACCAGTGAGCTGTAATTGCCCTAAGCAGCCCATCCAGGGACTCCACCGGAGTGTCCGGGGCCCAGGAACTGTGCATAAGCCCAGATACCTCCCCTGGCACAGGCTCGAGCTATATCTCTAACCAGACATGTAACTTACCAGCCCTGTAATTTGCCCTAGCTTCCCAGCCTGACCTTGGACCTTTCTGGTCAGTTAAGACTTTGTTGGTGAGGACCTTGCACTTGCCTACACTGTTGCCAACCTCAGTTCTTGCTTACCTTTCCTTGCAGAGCTTCCTGCTCTTTTTGCTCCCTGACAAGGGTGCTGAAAAATGCTTACCATGGGGATGAATGATATGCAAGGAATGGGGTCTGAATTAATAACCTCAATTTGCTAAATATGGACTACCATATACACTCTTATTTTTAGAGCCAGTGTATTCTGATGGATTTTGCAATCAACATAATTGCCTCTACTGAAGTGAATTATATATTAGATGCTATAGCTTGAGCTTTAGAAGTGACTGATTACCAAGAGAAAACAGATTTGCCAATAATTTTAAAGGTCATATTAAGATGTAATATTTCATAATGAACGATGGTCAGTGATGTTTATAAATGGGTATTTGAACAACAAACCAGTACTAAAACACACTTTGGAAGCTGTGCAGTAAATACAGACTACTCGATCTTGAAAATTCTGCTCAGGCATTCACAAAACGTGGGCAACATGAGAGTTTCAAGTGAGACTACAAAGTGTTTTAGTGAGAGTTGCCTGTGTTTTCCCTCCTGCAAGTTTGTAACAGTTAAACCCCAAAACCAACCAATTTTCATGGTTAGCCACCTTTGTTTTCTGTTCTTGACTGTTCACTTGCACTTGAAAGCTCTTAAGAATTATAGAATCATAGAATCAGCTGGGTTGGAAAAGACCTCTGAGATCACCAAACCCAACCCTTGATCCAACACTGCCTTGGTTACTAGACCATGGTACTAAGTGCCACATCCAGTCTCATCTTAAAAACCTCCAGAGACAGTGAATCCACCACTTCCCTGGGCAGCCCATTCCAATGTCTGATTACTCTTTGTAAAAAATTTTTTCCTAATATTCAACCTAAACCTCCCCTGGCACAGTTTGAGACCATGCCCTCTTGTCCTACTGCTGGTTGCCTGGGAGAAGAGACCGACGCCCAGCCAGCTACAACCTCCTTTCAGGGAGTTGTAGAGAGTAATGAGGTCTACCCTGAGCCTCCTCTTCTCCAGACTAAACAAGCCCAGCTCCCTCAGCTGCTCCTCATAGGACTTGTGTTCGAGTCCCTTCACCACCCTTGTTGCTCTTCTCTGGACCTGCTCCAGCACCTCAATATCCTTTTTGAACTGAGGGGCCCAGAACTGGACACGGTACTCCAGGTACTCTAGGTTTTTTCTTTCAGTAAGATCCTAGAGATTATGACAGGCTTCATTCTAGACTCCAGAAACTGGACTGAGTACATATTATTTTACACATCCCAGAACTTTCACCCAAGGCTTACACTGGGGAATTTTATCTTGTCGCTAAACGGGCTAAACCTTCCCTCTCACCGCAGAGGAAAAAAGCCACAGCTAAATTCAATGGAAGTACAACTGGGCCTCTGAAGACCACAGATTATTCCACCTACACATCCACCACCACGTACACAAACTTAAACTCCTTACATAATTGTCCCAGTGCCAGTGGTGTTACAGCTTGATTCGCGCCAGATGGTGGGCGTGCTTTCAGTGAACACTCATTGTCTCCACTGAGGCCAGAGTACATTTATATACTCTCTGTGAGTCAAAATTCTGATTTCAGAGTCAGTGTGTATAACCCTAGCCCGTATCTAAAGAGCAAAGAAAATAGGAAAGCACTGCAAGGTCTAAGGGTTTCAAAGTAC